ACTTACCCAGGAGTCTTAGAGAATATTAGGAGATCATTCAGTGAATGTGAGTCAGCACTATGTGTTCATTTTCTTGTTTGTTGTGACCTCCAGTTCGCCCTCAGGGTAACCTGAATAGAAAGGCCAATTATAGAGAGGTTTAAAAACTCTTTCATATCTTCTTCATTTCTAGATAATGGCTCTCACTGCGCTTTCCTGGAACACTAAATACTTAGAAATAGTTCTATTTGATCTCTCCAAAGATTTAATCTGTTCTTGATTTGCAAGCATGTTTTAAGAGGTTATATTTAAGGGATTTCTTTGTGGTACAGAGTCAGGGTAGGTCTGGTTAAACTGATTTAATATTTGATGATTTCATAAAATTGGTTTATGTTTTATATAGTTATCTATCTATAGTTTTTCCTTTAGTGAATTAAATCACCTTTTGTGAACTGGGTTCTTCTGTGTTGTAGTTGGCTACGCCTAAAAAGGAAAAAATACTTATTTTACAGCAGAAAAAGTTTGTTTTTTTTAGATTTAGATTTTTAAAACCACACATTATATGTATGTATTTGGTTTAAAGAAAAATGCCTTCTTTTCTGTGATCAATATCTTAACATGAAGGTATTTTAAAGTATACAGTAACTGGGTAAAAATAAATGAAATAATATTGAAAGAATGACTTCCAAGCGTAAAGATTGTTTAATGAAGATCTGATTATTAGAGCTTCAAATGATTGCTTGCAATTACTGTAAGCAATTTATTACTTACAGTAGTTCGATATTATGTTCAATGGCTGTTTTTTTGTTTCCTTTTTTGTTATTTTTGTTTATTATTTCTTCTTTTTTTTTTATAAATAACTTTTTAACCGGGCTGTTCAGTGGCACGGTGGATAGCACTGCTGCCTTGCAGCAAGAAGGTTCTAGGTTCGATTCCCGGCCCGGGGTCTTTCTGCATGGATTAATTGGTTTTGATAAATTGTCCTTAGGTGTGAGTCTGTGCATGAATTTGTCCCTGTGATGGACTGGCGACCTGTCCAGGGTGTACCCTGCCTCTCGCCCATTGACAGCTGGAGATAGGCACCAGCACCCCTCGTGACCCCAACTGGGACAAGCGTGTCAGATAATGGATGGATGGATGAACTTTTTAACCAGAATAAAATATTTTCATAACTTTTGTCCACTTACAACTAGGTGAATGAACCCTCTGTCATGGCAGGAGGTGTCAAAAGTATTATCCTACGGTTTTGTAGAAGTAAGAGGATAATCTTAAGCTTTTTACGCAAGTAAGAATGTACAAGTACCATTTATAAAACATACCAAAAGTAAAAGTAACGCAGGAGAAATGTTAAGGACTGATGCTTTACAGCACTACCCTGTTAAAGCAAAAAATGTTCTACAATTCTGGATGGCAACTTCCTTATACACAAAGTAGAGACAATTGCAAAACCAAAACTGAAAAGTCCAAAACAATAGTGACTTTGGTAAACTATAGACAGCCTAAATTTCTACTTAAGTAAAGTAAGAAAGTATATGTACTTTGGCAGTTGACATCTCTGGTCATTGCCCATCGGGGTCTGTATCGCTTTCACAAGTAATAAGCAACTTTGATGAGGATGGAAGTAACTCTACCACACAACACTGCTACGATGTGCAGACTGTTTTACGTCATACGTCACTTCCCTGTTTCCACCTTCGTTATAAAGATGGAAGTCAATGCAACTAAATTTCCCTGAGACTGTATATTCATGCTAGTTGTTCAGGGTTGATATTCAGGCAATGTGACACTTTCCTGCTGGGTTACTGTGAAATTATCAAACATAACAGTATATTTAACAGTTTCAAGGCTAAACTCATCAGCATATCAGTTGCTGATGGTCCGTGAGGTGGGGGAGGGCAGAGAATAAGGTACAAAACCAAAGTTAAACTTTGTTATTTTCAACATCCTCGTATAACATTGTTTTTTCCAAACTTTGATTCCATCACCCCTTCTTTACAACTGCTTTAAATAGGTTAGAATAACAGTTCTTCAGCTTTAGTGGCTGTTCAGATCATCTTTTATCATCGATGATGAAGGAAGGGAAAATATATGCAATAACAGTGAATCATTTTAATAGTTTAAGTTTGGTGCAAACATTTATATTAATCAAAGTTTCTACTGAAATATGTAAATGTTTACTGAGTAGCTGCCCATCAATAAATGTTATCTGGCCATTTAATGCCAATGTTAAAATTAGAAAGTGCAGCAGAAACCCTTTAAAGAAACCTTTAATCTAGGGTGACCAAACGTCCGTATTTCCCGGGACATATCCGTATTTCACGTCCTGTCCCGGGCGTCCCGGGTTTTTTTTAGAAAGTGAGGAAATGTCCTGATTTCACTGCGCACGACGCTCCGTGTGACGTAATCCCTGAGCCGCGTCAGTGCGGGCAGCCCTGTTCTTAATCAGAGGCTCTGTTCGAAAACCTGGGCTGCATCCTCCAAGGACGCGGTCTACCTAGACTGGATCCTTCGAAGGCCTTGAAAATAAGGAGGCCGGAAGAGTTCTGTCTGTAAATTCGAACAGGTCCTCCCTTCGGCGGGTTTTACTGCCGTATGCTCTGTTGCTTAGCAACCATGAAAGTTGACACACAAAGCAGGAAAAGAATGAATACCGAGGTTTTCAAAACTGTTTGTTTATTTATTTATTTAAAAAAAAGTTAAAGTGAACAAAGACTACACTCACAAGAATCCAGAGTGGAATAAAGGTTCCAACCACCGGGAGCAGGAACAAATGAAATCAAATGTAATGATAGAAACCTTAGTCAGTTAAATAACCTGCTGCTGTCATTCTGCACATCTCTGATGTTGCTGCTATTTTCAAATATCCATCACTGTAAAAATGTCCATAGCTGCATATTGGTTATTTATTCTCCAGTTTTATATTGTTAAAACACTTTACAGAATTTTATTTTTTATATTTTAACTCTTCCCTATTATGTTATTCTTATACATTTCTCTAAGGTCCTCATTTGTGTGACCATTTTCAATAATCTTTTTGCTGCTGTAAATTTGCCCATTGTGGGACAATAAAGGGATTTTCTATTCTATTCTATAAAAGGGTTAGAAATATATAAGTAAATCTAAACAATGTATCTACAAAATATATCTGCAAAATCTCTAATATTCAACAACAAAAAATACTTAGTTAAGCATATTGTGCAAAACAACAATAAAAAAATTTAAATCCTATCAGATTTATAGTTCCCACTCTGCAGATCTATTAGAATCTGTCCTTAAATTACAGCCAAACCCATTTACACAGTAACAGATTAAAACCTTTAGATAAATCAAACATTACCGCCACATATCTGACTCTATAACCATTAAAACAACTATTTCATTCATTTCAGACGGAACTATTCACAGAGTTGTATTATATTAAACTGAACTTCAAATTTTCACCACTGTTCTGCGCCAAGTAACATTTCCTCTCATCACGGAGCAAATCCCAATGATGAGACATTTGTTCTTTCAATATCACCCCCCCCCCCCCCCGCTCCAAGGTTTCCTGGTTTTCCCAAATGAAAATATGGTCACCCTACTTTAATCAACTGTTATTATTATAATCCATTACTGTAAAAATGTCCATAGCTGTATCTTGGCTATTTATTCTCCAGGTGCACAGTATTTGTATTGTTAAAACACTTTACAGTATTTCATTTTTTTTATCTTTAACTCTTCACTATTATTATTCTTATACACTTGTCTAAGGTCCACATTTGTGTGTTCATTTTTTCTAGAATGTTTTTGCTGCTGTAAACACCAGAATTTTTAAAATTGAGGCTTAAATCCTTCAATAAAAATATTGCTGGTTGTTTAAACACCTTATTCTGACGCTGACAACTGCATTTAAGCCGTTAAGGACTCATAGATGCACCGCACAATCACACTTTTCTAAAAGAAGCCAACGATCTGTTTATTTGGTGAATAATAAAAATAAAACAATCTGTAGTTTCATTTCTATAAAACAACCAGTGCAACACCTGCTGCACAAAAACCTGTTGCATGATTATGGAAATATGTCATTTATGTGTTTCACCTTCCTTACTGTGAGTTATTTCCCAAACTTTAAATCTCTACTGAAAGGATTATATTACTTTAAAAGCATAAAGCAAAACTATTTTTGTATGAAAGAGGATAATATATCCAGGATTAAAAGTCTATCCTTTTAATCCCTCTTTCAAAAAAAAAAAGGAAAAACAAGAAGGAATGAAAAAAGTGGAAGATGATTTACTGCTCTGATATGGAATATCTCCCAAAAACTTTACACATTAAATTATCCTTTTGCTTCTAGGAAACTTTGAACCAGTGGTGTTGAGAGCATTTTTGTTCAGCAGCTTAATCCAAAGGAACCAGCACACAAATGCCCAAACAGTGGCTCCAGTCTGTTCTGCTAGAGGTGACTTCACAAGGTGAGTGCGCATCCATGTCTCATGAATAATGATTTCACTGTCAAATCGGCTCAAGGCTGTCTGCAACTGGAATGATTCACTGATTAATTTTCCAACACACACATATGAGGAAACACAAGTAACAAAAACCCACACAGGGAATAAAGGAGGCAGCCGAGGGATGGGGGGATTGAGAGATGGACTTATCATTCAGTCGCCTACATGAATACCCATATACTTAGCTTCCTCCCATCCACTACCTTATTCCCCACACTGCTTTTAAAATGACCTCACTCAAGAAAAAAAGGGGTTCTCACTAACACAGATGGCCCACCACTACAATGGCCTCTGAGACTTCTGTGATTTAGGCAAAAAAAACAATTTGCATGAGAGAAGGTTAAGAAAAACAGAATAATCTTCAACCCAAACATGCAAGACTGGAGAGAAGTTTGGTGTTTACTGACAAACTTGAAGAAACGATACGAAGGCTGAATAGACGCAGAAATCGAAAATATAAATTCAAGCAGAAAGTGGAAGAAGGCATTAAAGCAACGGCACAGTTCTGAATGCAAACGACCGGGATGTACTCACCAGCTAAGCATCACTGGAGTGTGGGGACGGGGCTGAGAGGGCCGTCTGTCCTTTTCAGATTGATTCTGGAAGAAGGGAGAGAAAGAAGGGGGGGGGAGGGTGAGTCTTCAATGCACTGCTCGCCTCCTTCACATAAGCAGAGCGCAGAGCCACAAAGAAGCTGGTGCACCCGTAAACAAACCGCCAACTTTTCAATGGAGCTGAAGAGGCGGAGCAGGAATGGTCTTTAAACTCAGCAGCCTTCTCCAAATTGGGAGTCTGGAAGGGAATATTGGGGGCAGGAGGGAGGGATGCTGGGGCAGCAAGTAGCCTTTAGATCAGCATAAGGCCTGAGAGGATAATAACAAACCAGAAAGTTCAAAACCATTTATTAAAGCCTTGTAAAGGTAGGAGGCCTTGCATTGCAGTAAACTGTAAGAGAACAATATAGATGTAAATGAGGTGAGCAGATGCCCCGCTGTGTTTTTTGCAAACACAGATGCTAATATGTGGAGTGCATATTAGCATTGGTTCCAAGCTTTTTGATCTCAATGCCACAGAGCAAATTGGAACAAATAGCCCTGTTTGGTTTCTACGGCAACCTGAAGGAGCCGCTCAGACATGCGATTCCTCTTCTGCCATCAGCTGCTGCGATATGGCTGCTGTTTCCCCAACCTCCATGAGGAAGAGTGAACAGGAGTAAAGGAAAGATCGATTATTGGCAACTGTTCCCATAGTCAGGATAAAAAAGGCTGCTGAGATGTAAGATACTGAAGTATAAGCTGAGCTATAAAAGACCAGCCTTAGTTTTTCCTTTAAACTAAAAAAAATAAAGATTATGTGGACATAAACCTATAAAAAAGGTGGATGTCCATCAAAATGTGTAGCATCATCAAAGCATCTCTAAAACCTACCCTTTTAACAACCTTATCAAATGATGATGAGTTTTCTGAAAACTTAAGGAGAATTGATACAGTCTTAAGACATTTCTCTCCAACTAAGTTTCAATAAAAAACTTAAAAAATACACTCATCAACTGATATATTCAATGCCATGAAAAAACATCTCCAATTTTGTGTCACATTTAAACAGAAGTATTTAGTTTATTATATTGGGATTTTAAGTAAAACACCTAGAAGCAAGGTGCAGTTGTGAGATAGATGAAAACAAAATGTTTTCGTGTTAGAGGTAAAACTGTATACTGTGTAAACCTATCAAGCACTATTTTGATAATATCACGGCTTTTGCTCAAATCAAAGCTGCGATTTTGGGTTTTCTAATTGCTTGGAGCATTAAGAGAATCAACCTCCCAGACCCCTCAGGTCTTCTAGTTCCAGCCTACTCTGTTCACCCAGAACTAGAGCTAAACATGGAGAAACAGCATTTGGTTCCTATGCTCCACTGATCTGGAACAAACTCCCAGAGGACTAGAAACGAGCTGAAAGCCTGAGTTCTTTTAAATAAAAGTTGTTTAGAGCTGCCTTTGACTGTCGAAGGTAAACTGTTAACTGAGGTATCATACATTTAAATGTATGATCCAACTATTTATTTGTTTTACTGGCTTTTTATCATGTTTTTATATTCACTTGCTTTTACTTTCCTTGTATTTTATTGTTAAATTCATGTTAAGCATGAGGCTGCAGTGTGTAGCACTGCTGCTTTGCAGCAAAAAGGTTCCGGGTTCAATTCCCGGCCCGGTGTATTTCTGCTTGAAGGTTGCATGTTCTCCCTGCGCATGCGTGGGTTCTCTCCGGGTACTCCAGCTTCCCTCCACAGTCCAAAAACATGACTGTTAGGTTAAATGACTTCTCTAAATTCCCTTTAGGTGTGAGTGCGTGCATGAATGGTTGTTTGTCTCGTTGCCCTGCGATAGACTGGCAACCTGTCCAGGATTAACCCCACCTCTCGCCCACAGACACCCCTCATAACCCCGCTTGAGATAAGCATGATGAAAAATGGATGGATGGATGTAAAGCATTTTGATTTGTCTTTGTACTGAATTGTTCTGTATAAGTAAATTTGCCTTGCCTACAGAGACTACGCCTTTCTGGACCTTTTTTTTTTTTAGCAGAAATTTGTTATTTAGATTTCCCTTTAAGCAAAATAGTTAATTATGCCAAATCAGAAGATTTTACTTAACTTAATGTTATTAGTATTATAACCTCAAACATTTTCATTTGCATGGGTAAAGTTAATGTTGAGATGTTTCTTTACCTCAAACTGTTTCCACAAAGATATTAAGGCAAACGTATTCAACTTGTATGTCAGATTTACGATTTCTGTCATGAGGATATTATAATACCAACTAATAGCTTTTGGCATACTGCTTCTGTCAGCAAAAACTACACCATAACTGAGTGACATATGTTACCTACTGTAGCAACATTAAACATTTCCTGTTAAATCTAATAGCAACCTCACTCATGTTGCAACATCAGCCACGTCCATTGCCAATAGGTCAACTAATTGGAAATTATTGCAAAAATCTGCTCAAGTGCTTCCTTATTAAAGATAAACTATTTTTATTAAGTCATTTAAGTTATGTTTAATTAAAACACAAATAATTCAGATTAATGCAAAGGTTTAAGTCAAATCCACTAAAACAGCAAGAATGTTACACATTTTAGCAGATTATTTTTATCTTTTATAATGAGTTTCAACTACTAGTCTAACTAAATACTTTCAACATTTGTGTTAACAGCGTAGAGAGTAGGGGTGAAAGGAATCCGAAACAGTTCCATATTATTTATTGGTAAAAGATTTAGGGGAGGTACCTGGGAGAGAACTGCTCCCTGCTATTTCATGCCTACTTCAGCACACAGGGACCAATCTGAGGGCACAGCACAGTGCTTAAATCTCACACATTTGCTCAATATGTGCTCAACTCTGACAAACTGCTGATCAACTCCAGCGCTTGTGCTCAGCAGCTCGTTGCTCAGCTGCCTCTGCCCTCAGCACTTAATAAACTTTATGGGGCTGAAATACTTTTGTTTTAGTTTCTTTTAAAATAACAAATCAGAGGATATGATCAGTTATTCAATACTTAAAAAGCATTTGTACCATTTTTTAATGCTTGATTTATTTCTTATACTAAATGTTTATTTTTGACACTTGTGAATACCTAATTTAGTATTCTGCATGTATATAATACATAACATGGGGGGCTGCCATGAATGAAATCCTCAGGCATTTTTTTTGTAACCAGTCCAGCCCTGCCTGCAAGAATTTAGGTCTACTTTCACCCCTTGAAGAGGGAGCAAATAAAAACAAAAACCATAAATCACTTTCTTCCGTTTGACAATGATGCACTATTATATTTTGGTCTATCAAATAAAATTTCCCCTTGGATTTTGGAGCTTGTGTAGTAACAAAAGGTGAATGACTGTGATTATTTAGATCTGCACAACTTTACAGTCATGTGTTCACTGGTTAAGACAGAATGACAAGGGATGTTCAAGTGCATCAGGAAAAACTAAGCATCAATGATAATTGCTCTAAATTTCAACATCCAGCTTTAAGTTTTACTGCCAAATAATCCAACCCAGTGCAGAAACACTAAGAGTTCGAAGTATACAAATCCATTAAAGCGGATTTCCTCTGGAGTTAAGCTGAGAGTTTAGGGGTGAGCAGCGGGAAGTGACCGCTTATGCAAAAAAAGACAAAAAAACGTCCAATAATTGCCAGTGTCAGAGTGAGATCAGGTTTTATCCACTGCAACAAGCATAATCTGACACACACACATCTACACAAATGCACACCAGTCTTCTATAATGGCAGCCATCTTTTGGATTTCTCAACCCTGATTTTTCCCATAACCAACAGGGGTCAAAGGGTAACACAGAGGCTATAGTGTGGTTGGAACACAGCCAAAAACAACAGAGGTATGTTAGGAATACGAATGGTGACATCTTTGTTGTTGTTTTTTTCATTAAAAAATTATTTTAAGCAAATGTCAGCTGTCTTGTCTCAGTTTGACACCCAGTATAAATCACTAAAAACAATAATGCCCAATCATTGCTCCCTAATAAGCTGAAGATTATAAATAGATTGTAAAATCAGAGAGATTCTCCATTTGTAACCATGGTGTGGATCAGGATAGGAGAAGCACCAGAGAAGCTAAGAAAACACAGCCACTGTCTTTATATATCAAAGATGGGAAACATCAAGTTGCACCGGCAACTGTTGGGGCTCAGCTGTGATGTATTTTTACAATGTATCAAAAAGTAAAATAATAATGTACGTTCATATTTAAAGTATAAACAGAAGTGTTTTAGGACTATGAGAAATGACAGGTAATGTATTAATTAGTGAGCTCTCATACGGATCATCCTTCATCCATGCTTCCTTGTGCTTCTTAAGGATGGGGATCTGGCACCTAATTCTGGGCGCCATCATTTATGGGGAATCAAGAACGTTAGCTGTAAGAAACAATGACTTTTCTTCACGTCCCTTTCAGAGAGGATTCCACAAGAGACCGACAGTGTTGTTTTTGTCTGCGATGACAAAATTATTTTGTTGATGCTTCTTTTTTTCATGACGACAACGAAAACTGACCAGCTAATCTGGATCTTTGATTAGGAAAACATGATGAGTCATGGTTGTAAGTTTTCGTTGACGGGATGAGACTAAATAAAACATTAGCGGGTGGTCTGTCAGACGTTTAAAATGCCTCATTGTGCTGTAATCTGTTAGACAAGCTAAGCAGTACCAGTTGTGCTGCTGCATCCTGTTTGCTCATGCTGCTCATACCTGCCGTGCAGCTGTGCAAATTCTGCATGACCATAAATGGATCATGACAGCAGCGGCAGGGGGTGAAAATAGGCTGGAATCGTCCTGTATTGTGCACTGAACTCCAAGTCTGTGCTTTACGCTCCACACCAATGGTTCACTCCAAGCAGTATGGTTCTTCTTGCCCTCGCCACTTAATAAACTATATGTGGCTGATCATCCTCTGCCAAGCTTAAAAAAATCCCTTTATCTAACTATCAAGATTTTATTTCTTCCAGCTCACAAGAGGTGGTGCTATACCTTCTTTGATTTCTACCAAAAGGAATCCCTAAATTAAACCGAAAGAAAATATTTATTT